AAGAAGAACAATAAGTGGCAAAGCAGCAAATTACGCAAATGCACAGTGGCAAGGCAGCGCGTGAACTGAGCTAGAAAAGAAAAGAAAGCAAAAACGACTACTGAAAATAGCAAAATCAACAGCACAAGGACAAGCCTTGTTGAAACAAAAGTAAGCGACGTTGCAAACATACATATTTACGAGTATATAGAAGCCAACAATAATTTGCGGAACACGAAATTGGCAAGGTTGTGGTGAAGTAGTGGTAAATTGTAAGTATACTAAGCGCGCAATGGCGCTCTTCTACACAAGAGCTTAGCTCAATAGGAGCTGCGAACGTTTTGAAACTGTCATGCTACGCAATGTCGCGGCTGTCGGCTGTTGCAGCTGCTTGTTGACTTCTCTTACTCGTAACATAAACAACCAACAGGCGAGATACACATACATATATATACATGAACGTATAGCTGATATATAGCATACTTATAGGCAGTTGTCCTCAACGTTGCAGCAGCTCATTTAGTAGCTCTTGTTCATGACGATTACGATTAAATGTCGCTGAGTTGTTTTCAGCGAGCACTTCACAGCGTGCAAGAAGGGCAGTGTAGTTGTTGGTAGGTGTTTTTGTTTTCATGTTTGCATTTTTGCATTTTTACTCCCACCCATTCACCACTACTTCAGTTTGTTAGCTCTTCCCTTTCATTACTATTTTTTTTTTTTTGTTGTGATGTTTTTCATTCTATGATTTCTGTTGTTGCATTTATTTTTGCTGTCGCTGTTATTTTTCGACATTTCGCGTTGTACACAAACGCCATTGCCATAATGAAATGTTAAACGAGATATTAGCCTTTAGGCCTGACAGTATTCAAGAGGCAAAGCCATGAGCAATAGCAACAATAACAAGCAGCTTCGACAGTCAGTAGGCAAGCAGCTCTGTCTGTCTGTCTGTCTGTCTGTCTCTTAGCCATTCAAGCGACGGATTTATGTTGTCATTTTGCGTTGTGTATGGGCTTTTGCAGTCCGCATTGTTTGCTTGTTGCTAATTTTTTTTGTTTGCTATTTTCTGCCATTGTTGGTACTGTGTACATATGTTTTTGCCGAAGCCTTTGCCAGCATGCCAGCTTTTTATTCATTACATTTCAGTGCCTTTCATTGCTTTTCATTGCACACATTTATTTATTTAATATTTTTTGTTTACAAGTTTACATGCACATTTTATAGGCAAATTTATTCACCATAAAGAAATTGATAAAAATGAGTGGAATTTCAGCGTTGAAATTGGAGAGAAGAATATGTTTCATTTTCATATTTTATTTTTATCTCTTTTAATAAACATTTTCCGCCGACAGCTTAGGCTTTTCATTTATGCCATATTGTGGTTAATTTAGTGTAACTCTTTTTGCTCGCATTTTCATTTCATCGGAGTGAAGAGGCACACTTAGGGAGAAAGCAGTGACATTGACTGCATTTATAGCGGCGTGGAACTAATTTTTTCAGATGGTAATGATAACATTTATACATACATATTTATTTTTTATATCCTTTTAGGTGGTATTTACATACAAATGGTATGCTCGAGGTGGAGGAGCAGATAAAGCATGCATACAAAACGGAGTACATTCAAACTTACAAATGGGATTCTGAAGTAGCCGTCTACAGCTATAGGCTGATGCATGCAAAATAAGCCTCAGCCAAAGTCAGCTGCGACAGCGTTGGGCACTTGTGGTGAAAGTCAAGAGTTGAATTTAAAAATAATGCGCATTCATTTAGTTTAAAAAGCCAAGCAATTGAAACAACTTCAATTACAAGTGACTGCAAGGTTACAGGCGCTACAACGACTACTATATTAAGTGCACTTAAACGGAAGTTAACCTGAGTTCACAAAAGCAGTACTCAGGAGTGGATACAAGGAATGTATCTCAAATTGTAAAAAAATGAGTTTTGAAAAAAAAAATCTAAAAGGAGCATTTTTAATTTATATATTGTAAATTGTTATAATATTTTATTTATTATTATCAACGTAATTAAATGCATTTCAAAGTATATTGCTTAATTCCGTAAGCTTAATTTTAATTACATTAATGTATAATTTATTTAATATTATTTTATTTTATTTAAATTTTCAATTATGTTAGTTTGATTTATTTTTTATTTATTTACTTACATGAGTATCTTATATTTTTTTTAATATTTTACTTTTTTATTTCCAGTTTATTAAATTTCCTTTAAAACGATCTTATTTTCGATCATTTGAATTTTTTATTTTTCTTTTAATATATTTCATTTATTGCTTAATTTATTTATTTTGTATAATATTTTAGGCGGTGTAGTACAATTTTATATTCGAAAGTAATATGAATGGTCTTATCGACCTTGAATTAAATAAATTACGTTTGCCGGGTTCTTCAATATAATCAATAAGTTATCCGATCATGCAGTCATAACTCGTTAATAGGTAAAAAAAAGTAAAAAATAATATTTAAACCATTCAAAATTTCACTAAATCGATGAGTTTAATTTGATTAAAATCTATTCTATTATGTTCAATTTTATCAATTTTATTTAAAAGTATTTGATTTATTTATTTAAATTTCTTGTTTATTTTAAAATATTCTATTTTCTTTTTAGCTTATTTTTATATTTTTTTTTTTACAAAATTTTTGGATTTTACTCAGTTTATTTTTATTTAATTTTTTATTATTCAATATTTCTTTTTTAAAACATTAATTTTTATTTTACTACATTTTATTAATAATTTAAAAAAAAATTAATTTAAAATAATTGGCTTAAATTTTCTTTCTTTTTTTATCTAATTTCATTTCCTTTTTGATAAAATTTTGAGTTATTTTTTAAATTTAATTTAATTTTTTCATTTAATTTATTTTTCTAATTTTATTTATTTATCTTACTTTATTTTCTTTTTTTAATATAATTTAGTTTTATTTCTTCAATCTAAGTTTTTTTATCCAATTTAATTTAATTTAATTTTTAACATTCAAATTAATTTATATTTGTTATCTTATTTCACTTATTATATATTTTATTTCCTTTTTTTTTGAATGTCATTTAATTTTAACCGTTTCATTGCTTTTAAAATAAATTAGTTTAAACTGTATTTTAAAGTAAATATATTTAAATTCAAAACTCTTATTATTTGAGTTTATATTATTGAAATGAATTATGATTTACTCTTTTTATTTTCTTTATATAGATATGTTTCTTTTTAATTTTAATTAATTTGTTTTAGTTTACTATTTTAATTATAAGAATTTAAATTATTTTAATGAATTTGGGTAGTAGACTATGTCTAGCGTATTTTGTGCTTAATTCCACCGCCATCTTTTAAACACATTGACATTTACTTTGAATGTAAGGTATAAACAAGTAATTCTAAGAGCAAAATTTCTCAAGTATCACACGACTTGTGGCAAAGGCAAAGCAACCAACCCACTTCAACTCGAACAAAGGCGTTACATAAATTAAGTAAAGAACCAGACTTGTAGAAGACTTTATGTGTATACATATACTGTTATATTATATATGTATAACTTAAGTGCTTAATGGCAGTTGTGAATAATGGTTGTAATACCAACAGCAAGTTAAAATTAACACCGTTGGTATGGTTTGCGTTGTATTTTCTAGCATTTACTGCAAAATCGAGATTAAATCAAGTCCTGGTTTTAATGAGAAACATTGGACTTTTGTTTGAATTTTGGTAGCTGCCTTCAACATGACTCACCCGTTTACTAGATTTTTTCAACACACTGTACCACTTATGACATCTGCTGTTTCAGAGGTCATCTTGGCGTATACGCAACCAAAAAATATATATGAAGAACGGTGTGTTGGAAAATCTAGTAAACGGGTGAGTCATGTTGAAGACGGCTACCAAAACTCAGTGTGACAAAAAAATATTGAAATGTTGCGAATAAGTGACACGTGCGAGTAAATTTAGTATTAGGAAGCTGAGTCAGCTTGGGTTTGAGTATTATTCAGTAGATTCGAAAGTTGAGTGAGTGTATCAGCGTGTACTTAGTGGTACTGTCTTACTTTTCTTATCTTCTTTTCACTTATACTATTTCTTCGATTTTGGCGTACAGATTTAATTAAAATAACAAATGAACGTGCAAATTACAATGTTTTTCGCTTGTTCATGCAATTTTATTAAATTGGTATGCTGCTGTGCAGACAAGCTGAGTAAATTGGAAATTAGAATGGTGGAAACAAACCTAACTGTTGCTTGTTAAAATATTACATGGCATACAATTGCCAAAGTTAGAACGATATTAAATTTAAGCAAAATTTACAGAAAATAAGAAAAAGGCATAATAAAAATAAATATATAACAAAATGCAAAAATCAAACAGCAAAAAATGAAGTAATAACGAAATAAAATTTAAAAAACTGAAAATTACATTATATTAAATAAATAAAAAATATTGATCAAAATAGATTCAATATAATGAAGAAAATAAAATAAGATAAATAAACAAGATAAAAAAATACTTAATATGCAACAAAATATAACTGATAATTTATAAAAAACAATCAACTAAGCTCAGATAAAAAACTTTAATAATATATAATAAAATTAAACAAAAAAATTAAAAAGTTAAAAAAATAAACTAAAGCAGACACGGCTAAAAAAATTTAAATAAAAAATAATAATTCAAAATAAAATAAAAATCAAAATATATTGAATATAAACGATATATCTAGAGTGACGGAACAAAATAAAAAATAATAATTAATATGCAAGATTAAAATAAAATTAAATTAGCAAACAAAAAATAGTTTATATAAAATAAAATGAACTTAACCAAAACAAAAAAATAAATTTTGTAGAATAAAAATAAGAAACCGATAGGAAAATAAGAGCATTATAATTTAACAATTTATTTACAAAAAAAATAAAATAGTAGAGAATTTACAAAAAATAAAATTAAAATACGATTTAATCAACTAAACCAAAATTTAAAAAATTAAAAAAAATAAAGTTATTTATAAAAAATTACACTTACTTGTAACCCGAATTAAGCGAGACATCATGTATGGCCACATTATCGAATTGCGCCGGATTGGCGGTCCAACGCGCCCAATAGAATGTGAAATCGTTTGCATCGTAGTGTTCGGTGAAGCGACATTTTAATGTCAGATCGGCATTTTCTCGCGTATCCAGCGATTCGTCGGCCTGTGAGGAGGTTAGTGTGGATAATGTGAGTCCTAGAAAGAGCAAAAAAGAATTAAATATATATTAGAATAGTTGAAAAAATATGGTTTTACAAAAATTGTGCTAAAATTTATACTGCAAAATTTCGAGAATTTTTGTAAAAATAACAGTAAATTTTTTTTTCCACTTTTAACTTTCTTTTAACTGAAGATAGTTTAATATAAAGTATTCACTTGATACTTTTTAGTAAAATTTAATTTTGTGCACAATAACTTAGAGCAACATTAATTTCCATCCGCTTAATATTCTAATTACAGACTCGTAACATTCTGCAGTAATTTTATTTTTTATTGCTTCCCTTACGCATAAACTATAACCCACTCATCCACATAAATATAATTTTGACACTTAAATTTAGATATTTTCCCCATATATATATCCATAATTCATAAAAATAGACTCACACTAGCGTAAAAGGTTCATGAAATGTTATCTACGCATTTTGATTGCCAACAAATCACTGTTAAAACTGATTATCCCCTTTTGATCTTTCACATGCTCACCATAGTAGGAGGTATAATCACTACATTCAGTCTACAGTCTTCGTGTTTCCAAACAAATCCGACAAATCATTTTATTTATTACAATAACACAAACGAGCCGCCAAAGCACGCAGGCTAACGCAAGAAAAATTCTGATAAACGTGAACCCAAATTGACGTCGTTTGAATTGGAAATTTTTTAGTTGCACAGCTTGTGCTTGTATGTGTGTGCGTGCGCCTACTAAAAAGGTTGATAGACGCAACGATTGCATAAAAATTCCAATTATTCAATTCATCACGCAAACAAACAGTACGATGGCCGGAGAGCATAGTTGAGAAGAGATTGAAATTTTATTTTGTTTTTTCTATCTAAATATAACCAAAAATGCGACTGAGGCGCCTGAAAATATGCAAACGGAATTTTTCAAGTGAAGCAGAAACGGCTCGGTGGCAAACTAGTGAGCAAAATAAAAATTACGATGGGTCGAAATTGGAAGAAATGTAAATAGAGATGACAGGATAAACACAAATCGCAGAGAAAAAATACCAAGCAAGCGGAAGTTTGCACCAGCGACCCACATCACCTGAAGGCTACGACGGAATGCATAAAAAATTTGTACGCAAGAAAATAAGAGAGAAATTTTCAAAAAAATAAAAATAAAATAAATAAAATAGGAAACCAAATCAATTGTGCTTCGATACCAAAAGCAAACCAATGCGCAACTAACAACTCACACACAATTTTGGATGGATGTGGGCGAGTGTATTTTTTGCATGGAAATTGCTTGTCTAGATAAAAATCACAACAAGCCTTCGGCAGGCGGAAACCGTAGGTAAAACAACAAGCAGTTCAACTGAACTGAATATTGAACATTTGGTGCGTTTTCACACGCAACGTGCAACACAACCTTTTTGTTATCCTCTTCAAATAAAAAGCAATACAAAAATTAAAATTGAGAAAAATAAAAACAAAAGCATTTGTGGTCAATCGCCAGTTTAAGAGAAATTCCACATTTATTTCCTCTTGTGGGTATGCACATAGCCCACACACAACACACAGAGGCATTAGTTCAAGGACGTAACACACAAAAATGGTGTCGATTACACAATTTTAGGATATCCTTTATGTGGGGACAGCTTGTGGATGTATGGTCAAAGTGATCCCAACAAATTGTGAGAAAAAAAAAATACTTTTAGGCAAATATCAAGTAAGTGCTGGTCAACCCTTTCGTTAGTCGCATCGATGCTCATGATTAGACGACTGTCGTATCTTATTCATTTTATGACTAATCGCCCATTTGTCGGACGAGTGGTTTACTACTTCGGATCTTTTGAATATTTTTTTGCGGAAATTGAAGCTACCTTTTTATGAATAAAGTATAATAGTAGGAAATGTATTGCTATGGAAATTTTAAGAAAAAATATTTTTTATGCATCGACAACTGAGTAAGGTCAGTTTTTATGCGAGCAAAAATGTCAAATTTATGATAGATACACATTAAAGGCACAAGTGAGTGGATTCAAGATTGTCTTTAAATTTAGTGTTTAGATTACAAAATAAGTTATGTAATTTTATAAATATTATCATATACGTTAATTTTGTTTAACATTTGCATGGAATTGCACAAACTTTTATGGAGTCTATGTTCAAATTAAGCCCATTCGTAAGCTAAAGCTTTTTATGGTCAATGAAGGCTTTGAATACAATGTTGTCAATTTTCACACAATCGTGTCGTAACACAAATGGGTACATCACTTATTCTAATATAACTCAATGTATATGAATAGAATTCTTAAACACACATTTATCTACGCTGTTATATTTAATTGAAAGCAATGTCTTTATTTTTATTTTTTGTTTCTGGGTGAGCATATTTGTTTTTTTTGCTCAAATTTAAATTATTTCGAAACCATTGCAAATTTTTATATTCAAGTGCAGCGTTGCCAATTTTCCAATTGCGTACATTAAGTAATTAAGTAGCTAATATATCAACCGCAGATACCGTAAGAGTTTTTGGGGTTGTCTAGCAACTATGTTGCCAAATTTCACATATTTTAGGTAGTAATATTTTCTACAGAAAATGTATGTGAATAAACGTCAGTTAACTTTGCCCATACTCGTAGAAGACATTTTGTGATTCAATATATATAAAAAAATATCAGTACAATTAATGTTAACTATATAACGTTTACAGTTTTGTCAATTTTCACTAGCTAAATGTTTTAAGAAAGTTTTCGTGACAGACACAAACCGATCCAAAAATTAGTTCCTTTTTAATTAGTTTTAAGTTTTGCTTATGTTTCAAATCAGTTTCTTCAAAAAAACATAGAACAACTATTGTCATTATTCAGAATTTGTTTAGCTATGTTAGAAAATGAATTCAATATACAAAACCAACGTAGCTTATTTTCAAAAAAAAAATTTATCTTTTTTCATGCTATCAGCAATTTATTTCGACCCTCGAAACAGCACTGAGTTCCAAAAACGCTCAGAAAAAAATTCGTTGTTGCCAGTTTTGACATAACCTACAAATTTTATATGGAACTTCTTCTTTTTTTTGTGTAGTGGATATATTTTGTAATTGTGACATGCAACGAAAAAAAAAACAGAAAAAATTTGAGGATACGATGTTGCAAATTTTCTGCAGTCTATAAAAATATTTGCCCTACAATAAAACAAGATTCAGCTGATTTTTCAAAGAAAGTGATTTTAAAGCAAATTGATGCAAAATTATTCGTTTGCTGCGAAAATACAGTTAAAGGCTTTTAGAAATAATAAAAGTCAATACACAACTAAAAGCTATATTCCGTTTTTCTCGCTCTTTCTCTAATTCAAATCGCAAAGTATTCACTTTTAGTACTTTCAAAAGAAGAATATAATAGAAAAATACATATTAGCCGCCTTAAAGCAGGCAATCATAAATTTTATGTTATAATAAAAAAATAGATATAAATTCAATAAAGCTCACTTCGAGCCAGCGTAATAAAATCCAATTGAAATGACATTAAATCCATTTGCTGGCATAAAAGCTAATTTACGATTAGTAGTTTGGTTAGTACCGCATAATGCCAAGTAATTTAAATCCTTTGCCACCAATTTTTTCCTTCGACGCCATGATAAGGCACCTTTTTCTGCATTCATTTAATATATTTGGCAGTGTTTCTAGCTTTTATACTATATTAGCTGGCGCGATGGAGAATAAAAGGGATTATGGCGTTTGAACAGTTGAACGAAGAAGTAGAGAAGCTTGCAAATTTCTAAATGGATAAAAATCAATGAGCGGAAGGAAAGGGGAAGATGAGCATTTTTTTATTTCCAATTAAAAAATAGAAGACTTCAAAAGATTATGTCATTGACATATAGTTTAATTTTTAATACGGCAGTAAGAAGTACAAAGATTTCATTAGCTGGCAAGGCGAAGCCTACCCTTAGGAGCGGCAAAAGATAGAATTGTCTGTTGCAGCTGCTCCACTGCAGCTAATAGTGACCGGAAAACATACAAAAAAAAAGACAAATAAATAACGAAAATGAAATTAGAGTGCGCGAGTTTGAAATGCATAGCGAAGTAAAATTAATCTTTATAAACTAATTTGGGTGATAGTTGGCTTGGCGTTGATGATAGGCATTGGCTAATGGCGAACGCCAAAACCCCTAGGGGGGAGGGGACGCAACCGTTGGCAGATGGCAGTGTTGCATATAAAAGCCACTAAAGTCGAAGAGGAGCAGTCAAGCGTGCTACTTCCTTCAAATATTTTGGGTAACACGGAATTATCAGCAAAAATACTTTTGTGCAACGTCAGCGCTACTCCTTTGTGCCTTTATGGCAACTTTTACAGTGGGTGTTCATGAAATTTTCATTTTGCAAGCAATAAAAAGAACCGAAATAAAACAGACATCAGCAAATGCATAGCAAGCAGGCAGATAGCTAGCTAGCAATGTCAAAGCAATATAAGAGACAGTGTACGAAATTATGAACGAAAGAACGGAAGAAAATTAATTCAGCCAAAAAAAAAAATGGTACAAAAGAAGGAGAAAAACTGTAGGCAGTAGCAGTAGCAGCTGTATTAACCAGCTGCAATTTATGTTTAAAAAACTTTTGTTGCAACAAAAAAAATTACAAAATGCTTTATAAATGCAGGCGAGCAGCAGAACCTACAGCGGCATACAACAGACGAGGGTCAGGCGAAGTCAGGGTCAAAGGAATCAGCTGCACTGCCGGCGAATGGCTAAAAATAGTAGTGAAGCTAGCAGTCAAGTCCAATGTGCCACTTGTGCGACGAACGGTGGTAGCAGTGGGTGCATCTGCGACTCGATCTCTTGTCGTTGGGCGTCGCGCATCAGTCAAGAGCGACCCCAGACAGCCAATTTACACTCACTCTTTGGAAGCCAGCAAAGAAAATGTGCTTTTAGTTAGACGCAGTGGTACTTGCACTTGCCCCAGCATTGGCGGGCTTGACCCCCTAAAAATATGCAGTGCGCAGTGAATACAGTGAAACAATTTATGCTATGCC